AGGGTTTGATTTTGAACTTTAAGCTTAGTAAACTGCTTTCTCTAAGAATTATAGTACCTTGCCATATCACCAATCATGATGCAAATACTTTTATTCTTTAGCATTGCATTATAAAACTGCTATTTCAATAACTAAGTTTTAAAATTTATAATTATTTTAATGAATTGATCCTTTTGCCTATTATATTTCATTTATTTTTAATGAAATGATAGCCATGGTCTTCATTTTTAATAAGCTGTCAAGATTCTCTTCTCAATTTACTTTTACCTTTGTATCATCTTGTTTGCCCAATTAAAAACCCAGTCTCATTTGTAAAATATCTGTTTTGTTGTTGTTGTGTTTGTTTTTTTGTTTCCTTAAATATCTTAAGAAACCTTTCCATATTGTAAAAATATAACATCAATGATATCTTCTCTTCTTCTTTTCAAGTGTTAACAAATAGAAATTAAATTGCTTACCATGATACCACCACTTCGTTTTCTTTGGATTCTTGTTACATGTTCGAACATAAAAAGAATTATCAGGTGGACGTCTCTGAAATCAAAGAGTTTAAATAGATAAAGAAGATGTAAAAGTAGAAAAAAATAACATGGGAGGTATATTAATACGTTTTTTTAAAAGCTTAAGCAAATTTTTTACAGACAGCAAAGCAAACTATACATAAGCTGATATAAGAATAAATATAATATAATCTATGAAATGTACAGACTCTTGATACCTATTTTGTTCAAATATATGATTACGTGTGTGGTTGGGTTGCAGTGAGATCCTAGGGAATACTAGCAGCCAAGAGTGGTAGTATCAAGTGGTTAAAATAATTTTTTCATTTACCTTGTTCATTCCTAGAAATGATTTAATAACTACTTTTAGTGGAAAAAAATTAATTAAGGAAATGAAACAGAAAAACAGAACTAATGTATTTACCTGAGAAACTATAACTTATAAATCGCTGAAGGATTATTATGTTACTATGAGACTCTACTATGAAGCAAGGGATTCAGCTTCCAAATAATAAATGAGGAAAGGATGGGAAAATATACAAGTGTACCCCCAAAATACACCAAAATTTCCTCCCCCACAAAGCTATGTATTTATTTTTTACAAAACAACCTTATCACCTTCAAAGCACTTTCCATTACACTTAATACATTTGTCAAATCTGCGATTCCATTCTTGGAAACATTTTCAAACTCATCTATTTGAATGACTGACAGCACCTCCCTCTCTTTTTTTTCTTCACCTCTTCTACATGGTCAAATCTCTGTCCTCTCAGGTCCCTCTGCATTTGCAAAAACAAAAAGAATTCACACAGAGAGAGGTCAGGTGAGTAGGGTGCATGGGGAAAGAGAGGAATGCTGTTTTTTGCCAAAAACTAGCCCACTGAGATGGCTGCGTGAGCAGGTGCATTGTTGTGCTGGCAAAACCAGTCCCCTTCTGCCACAAATCAAGTCTTTTTTGTCACACACTGTTATGCAATCTTTTCAGAACCTTTAAATAGAAAGCTTGATTTAACAGTCTGACCTGGTGGAATGAACTCCAAATGCACTATTCCCCTCACATCAAAAAAACAAATAAGCATTGTCTTGATCTTTGGTTTCACTTGAGCTTTTTTTAGATGAGGTGATGATGGCATCTTCCCCTAGCGTGATTGATGTTTGGTTTGAGAGTCCTATGAATAGCACCATGTCTCTCCTCTCCAGTAATCACCTTAGGAAAAAAGTCTGTGTCTCTTTGGAGTTGTGTGATTTGAGGTGGTGGGCCAGCCCCGCCACCACTAATCACGGGTTCAATAAGCACAACTGTACGGTTGAGATATATAAATATTATATTAATGTCATTGAGAGCATGAGAGATAGAAGAGAGAGTCAAATAATGGAATCAGACATACTTCATGGTAGCATGTTCACCTCAGCCCCGCTTGGTGGTCCACGTGGAGAGAGGGGGAAGGGAAGGAGGGCAAAGGGAAAGGGAATAGAGGACTGAAGAGGAGGAGAGGGGGAGCTGAGGGAGCGAGTGAGATCTCTATTGCTAACCCAGGCCTATATATCTCTTGGGGGGTGTGCAAGCCCACTAATTACAGGTAAAGACATACGTCACAGGAAGGGGTTGCACTATAGATTATACAGCAATGAGAGGGGGTGGTCTAGAGACATACAGGCAATAGGAAGAGGAGGGATTGGGGGTATGTGTGTGACAAGATGGGTGGATCCTAGATTCAGGATGGCAGCTTAGTTTTGGATGTCCCAGATTGGGTTTGATCTGTTCTCTGGATCAACTGATAGACCATTATCAGTAGGGTGCGATCTCCACCTACAGGAACCAAATCAATGACTGCAGGCCTGTCCATTGTCCTTAACAGCAGGAAGCGGGGCCTACTCCCTGGTGACTGTCTTCAGGGAGGATGTCTGTAAGCATCTGACCTTCCCCCACAGAGCAGTACTTTCCAAGCACAGCATGTTTCTACTGGATGCTCTTTTTTCCTGGTCAGTCGGGACCCAAGGCACAAAGTTC